TATTAATTCAACTACCTATATTTTATATGTATATGTATGCAAACATTTCTTCATAAAAATTCCAATTTCAACCAATCATATATATTGTTCTCTCTTAAAGACAATCTAGTCAAAACAAACATTTATACCATCATCCAAAATCTATAAACAGCATTCACGAATAGTCATCCTTCAACTCCGCTCTCCAATCGTTTTTAAATTCATAAGAGAATCATCCAACTTTTTTTAAACTTTATCAAATCACTTCAATTAACAACATCATCTTTCAAATTATTCCAAATATTAATAGTTCTATTAACAAAATAATTTTTTCTTAAGTTCGTATGGAATGTCAGTGCTGTTAGCCTCGTCTCATGTCCTCTTGTTCGTCTGGTGGCTCTCAATATTTCCGGCAAGCTTCGTTGATTCTTTTCATTCAACATGTTAAACATCGTTATCAAATCACCTCTTATTCGTCTGTATTTTAGTGTTGGCAATTGTAAAAATCTTAATCGGTCCTCATATTTCATCCCCTCACAGTCCTTGATCATCTTTGTTGCCCTTTTCTGAACCTTTTCGATTGCTACTGTTTCGCGTATTGTTCATGGTGACCACACACTTGCAGCTGAGATCTAACTAAGGATTTATATAATAACATAAAAACATTTTTATCAATATCTTTAAAGTTTCTGTTTATTAAACCCAACAATGAAAATGCCTTCTTTACATTGCAATGTATATGCTCAATAAATTTCAAAGATGTATCAAAAATGACACCCAAGTCTTTAATTTTTTCAACAAAACGTACTGGGTACGAGCTTATTTTATAATCATAATTATTATCTGATACAGAACAACCAAACTTTACAACACATTTTTCTTTATTCAATTTCACATCATTCTGCACACACAGCTCATTCAAATCATTCAAACCCTTCTGCAATACCACACTATCCCTATCTGAGTTCATAATTTTAAACAACTTTGCATCATCTGCATACATATACTTCGCAACCCCATTTACATCCTGAAACATATCAAATAAATCATTAACATACATTAAAAACAAAATTGGTCCAAGCACACTACCCTGTGGAACTCCACTCTTCACCTCTCAATATCTTGACATACCATCATTCACTCTCACACGAAATGTTGGGCATATACAACAACAACAACACACGTTTAGACGACATTTTCCCCGAGATCGGGGGTTGCCGTTTGGCTACCTATGATGAAACCGAAATACCCCTCGACGCCATCCACATCTGTCACTCGCCTCAGTATCACGCAACCCCGCTTTCACCCTGTCCTTCTCCACCTGCTCTCTCCATCCCAATCGCGGACGACCCCTTCCTACCACTCCTTCAACCTCGAACTCCAACGCTCGCCTAATCCCGACCCTTTCATCCCTTCTCAACACATGTCCATACCACCGCAATATCGATCTCCTTATCAATGTCACAATGTCCTCATTCAGTCCCATCATTGACATCAGCTCTGTACTACTCCTCCTATCCTTCACTTTAACCCCACACATCATCCTCACCATAGCTCTTTCAGCCCTCTGCAGTACACTTTCCTCCTCTCTCCTCAACACCCAAGTTTCACCACCATATACCATTGATGCTCTCACACATGCTTTATATACCCTCCCTTTCATCTTCACTGACCATTTCTTTACACACAATACCCCACCCAGTTCCCTAAATTTCATCCATCCTACACGAACTCTAGCCGTAACTGCGCTCAAACATCCTCCATCCGCGTTCAGCTTATCCCCTAAGTAAACAAAGCTTTCCACTCTTTCAATACCACCACACAACCTCGTCCTTGCGTCCGTCCTATTAATCACACCATGAACACATTTCTTACATTTGAACGTGCCTTCCACCTTTTTCAGTACCCCCCTCACACCACTACATCTCTTATGCACCCATTTCTGACATTCTATACACAATACCGAGTTAGCCTTCACTCTCCTGTCACATACCCCACAGGGGTCTATTTTACTTATCACTCGCTCTCCACCTTCCCCCACTCACCATTACCTTCGTCTTACCAATATTAACTTTTAACCCTTTCTTTTCAATAAC